AAAAAAATAAAAAAAAATAAAAAAAGTACAAAAGCACCACCCCCAAAATTTTTAATATGCCAAGGAAGCCTAGTCCCTCTTGCATGTGTCCACAGTAAAATTAAAGCTAATTTCTTCTTCAACAGACCTCTAATTACATGCAGCCTTTAACCCCTTAAGGACCAAACTTCTGGAATAAAAGGGAATCATGACATGTCACACATGGCATGTGTCCTTAAAGGGTTAAGTTGCATTATATTTCAGTACAGACATATTTTATTCTTTATTTTTTACTTATTGTTAAACATTGTGAGCTACATGAACAAATTAAATATTATTAAATATTGTTGCAGAATAAAAAAAAAGAGAAAATAGATACATTTTGTCACGTTTAGAAGGGTACTCTAGGTACATTAACAACTTCATTTCACTTAAATAGATATGGTGCCTGGAGTCCCCACGTATGATCCCTTGTTTCACTGAAATTTTTTTTGAAAAGTTTAACAGTGAGTTATGGTCTTTGGCAGCTCGCTATTCCAGAATGGCTGAAGCGGTGTAACACACCAGCTGATGCCAAATAAAATTATACCAGTAATAGCTGGATTCCATATTCTGAGAGCCAAGGGATCACAGGCACTATTATCACTTTAATGTGATGAAGTGTTCATGGTGCCTTCAGTGTACTTTTAAGAGAGCAAAAAGTTAGAGGTTTAAGATCCATCTTAAGTTTTAAAAACATAGAATTACTTGAATGTATACTACAAGCACCATAGCCACTTGAGCACATCCTGGTACCCCCTAATGTTTGGCACCCAGGTAGGAAGTCAATCAATCGAAAGAGACAGACATGTAGATATTGAGGGAAAGTCAGAGTATACCTGGTGCATTGTAGTTGTTATGGTACTTGGGGTGTTCCTTGGACACGCATCACTTGACAATTGAATGTTTAAACCAGCAAGCAAACACTTCTAAACAACTTTACAAACATACAGGGCCGGAGTCAAGGATTTGTGGCTACACAGGCAAAGAAGCATTTGTCCCTTTGTGTCTCTTGCACCCCAGCCTTTGTATGTCTCTTACTTCCCTCCAGCCCTTGTGTGTCTTTCTCCCCAAGCCCCTCTATGTCTCCCTGTGTCCCCCCAGCACCTCTAGGTATCTCCCCACAGCCCCCAACTGTCTATCTCTTTGCCCCTTCCCCCGCCCCTCTGTGTTTCTGTTTCTCTCCACGGCCCCATTTCTGTGTCTCTTCCTTCCCAGCCCCACTATGTTGCCTTGTGTTCCCCCCAGTTCCTCCATCTCATCTCCCCAAGTGTCTCATGTCCACAGCCCCCCATGTCTCAGTCTCCCAAACCTCCATGTGTCTCAATCCCCCAGCCCCTTCATGTGCTCATTGCCTCCCCCTCAGTCCTCCCATGTGTCTCAATCCCCTAGCTCCCCCATGTCTCAATCCCCTAAACGCCCATGTGTCTCAATCCCCCAGACCTCTGTGTGTCTCAATCACCCAGCCCCTCCATGTGTCTAAATCACCCAGACCCCACCCAGTGTCTTAATCCCTGTCCTCACTCCCCATGTGTCTTGCTTGCCCTCTCCCACACGTGCCAGTTTATCTCTCTCCTCCTGTGTAGCGTGGCCGGGAGCAAACTGCAGGGGCATACAGAGCAGGTGCTGTGCAGCGCAGACTCCTCCTGCCCGTCACCCGAATCCTGCGCACCCTAGGCCGGTACGCGACATGGCGCCTGTGCTGCCATATGGTAGTGCCGATCCTGCAAACATACTTTGAAGAGTATATAATAAACGTTTAAAAACTCAGATTGCACTGTTCCGCATGCCTCACAGTTAGGGGAGTTTCTTCAGGCTCCCCACACCTTCCCTCTTACCCACCCTTCTCAGTTTCAGAGCATTTCTCTAATGACAGAAACAGGGCATCATTGTGCTGCAGCAGGAGAGAGAAACCCGACATCTGACACCCATCTGCATGAATCACACTGTTTAGACTCCCTCTCTTCTCCCCCTGTCAGGATGCTGCAAGGTAAAGAGATCTTCCAACTGCAAATGTGTAAATCTGTCAGGCATGCCCATTGCATTTTTCCAGCATTCCTAGGAATAGGACACGGATTGGTAAGATCAGTGTCCCCCCTGGAGTGGGAGTGGAAAGCATAAGCAAGAAGAATCAGATATATTCTTGAATGGCTGCAAAGGCTATGAATGTGGTTTTCAGGAGCACATGGCGCTCATTGCCCTGTTGAGATTATCCATACCAAATCACTTTCCCAGATAGTTTACTCAGTCACAACTCACATGAAAGAAGATCTGGCGATGTTTATTCGTCGTATGATCTGTAGAATGTGCAGTTACAACAGGTAAAAGAAAGATTCTTCCATACAGGCTAGGAGAGATACAACAAGTCACATGAATGTTCAGCATAAAAAAAGCACTAATACAGGAAAGGGGGAGGGGAGTACCTGAAGCAGCATGAAAACTACGGAGTGGCACAAGAGGCAAACTTAAGATGAACATTAAAGAAACAGTACATTATGGTAAAACGATATCATGTAACATGACAAGATAAATACGAAAAAAAATCAGTCTGCATAGTGAGCCAAGTGTCTCACTAAAGCTTTTGAATGAGACATTTGTCTGAAAGTGATGAATGTCCCTTTAAATAAATGTTGCTTAACAGTTTAAGCAAAACGAAATATGTGAGCGTGCCTTCACTAAATCGAAGAACGGCATATATACTATGAACAAACACCCATGCAAGGTTAGCCAATAAGTAGACATTAGCTGACAAAGCAATACAAAACACAAAAAAACAGGTTGCACTGAATAATGTGTGCATTAAGGTTAATAAAAACAATTATTTTGAAGATTCTGGGTTGAAATCGTCCAAGCTTCAATTGGTGAGGAGTATATGTAAAAAAACAAAAAATAACCAATAGTGCAGATAGTCAAATACTTAGTGTAGGACACACAACAAGGATACGTGGGATCACACTCACATTTGTTAGAGCTATAGACCAGCTCTGAGTAGAACAGCATACAGCGCTATAATCCTCACTGATGGATATGTAGCTCTTTACGAGTAAGTTTCAGAGCATCCGGATGAATATGAAAAAGTAAAACATAAAAAGTAAACAATAGTGCTTACTGAGTAAAACCAAAATCAGGTAAAAATATAAATGGTAATTTACTCACATTTAGTAGAGCAGTAACACCGCTCAAGAGATAGCACTTGGGTGGTATGATACCTACCAAGGATTTAATGTTGAGTAGATTCTCCTGAAGGCAATCCTTGCCAGGAATTGGATGTAGAGCAGAGTAGATACTTCAAGAGTTCTAAATTTGTCAGTAACAATAAAAAACAATAAAAATAACAAAAAGCAAAATAAATGGTCTTTCATTATAAAATGGGTGTAAGCCAAATAAACTTTGTCACGGATTGGATGTAAACGTAGCTGACAAAGCATCATGGGAGATGTGGGTCTAAATCAGTTGGAGAGCAAACTTTTAATGACATGCTTTTCATTCATTTTAAAACAGCGTTGTCAACTACACCTCCCCCTTAAAACATGAGTATTTCATAAAGATTGAATCATATTGAGTGTGTTGGAATTTCACAGAGACAAAGACCATTTCCTCCGCCTGACTTTTTTTAGACTCTGTGCTTAGCTACAGAGTCAATACCGACAGCTGTCACCAGTGACGGCTGCAGGAAATTCGTCTGTGTCTATGCAGGATCCCACGGCCTCATGGGATCTTCCAGAGGCCTTAATGTTGTATTCTCGCGCATGTACAATAGAACAGCAGTGATGTCGGCTCCGGAACAATACGGTGGCACCCGGGAGGAACAGGTTAAGATAAGTAAATCTCTCCTTTACCTGCTTCCCCCAGCCACCGGAACCCAGCGATGATGTCACCATCGGGGATCTCTACGTATTCTGAAAGACCCCAGATGGTGATAGTGCCATTTTAAAGTGGCAACCAATTCCACAGAAGTGTGTGATGGCTATAAAACTGCTTAGTTGATGCCTTAAACTTTCTTTGATATCACTTTCTTTGAATGGAAGCTCATTTATTATGCTAAGGATAGGAAACCATACCTCCCTACATTTCAAATGGACAAAGAGGGGCTCTTTAATTTTAGGAGTGTGAGTGGGGGTGTGGCTTTGTACTAAGACATTTTTGGTGACTTATTAATAACAACGGACATTTATTCTCATTTATAAAGACTGATTTCTAAACACATTTATTGTATTTGAGAGACACATTACTCTGCGTAGTATTGCTGTGGAGCTCTGTTATACACTCAGGCACACCAACAATATGGGATTTGGGCCCAAAATAGGGACTGTCCCTCCTGCATAGGGACACTTGGGAGGTATGAAACTTTGACAAGGAAATTTCCTAACTTTGGACTAAAATAGTTGGAAAAGGTTTAGTTATATCAGCTGTTTTAGCCTACAATGTCCAATGTCCTCATGAATTCCATACAAATTGTGTAACTGACAGATTAGTGAAGCAAACCATGTAATAATGAACTGAAATTCTTATGACGTTGCAGGTGGATCCTGGGAGTTGCAGTCCACTGATGCCTGTAGATCTTGAACCATTTCAATCATAGTACAGTAGAAATTTCAGGCTGTTTCCATCAGGCATGACAAAGGCTGCTTGTTAGCGATCACAGGGTAGATAGCATTAAGGGTCACAGCAGGGATACATTTGCAATTCATTCATCCATTTATTTGCAGCGGGGGAAAAAAAAAAAAAACTATTTTCTTTCTAAAAGCTGAGAGATAAAATGTCCTGTCAGTTATCAAAGCACTTAAATACAAAGTGGTTTATGTTTGATTATTGTGTTTTTCATGCATTATCAATGCAATGCATAAACATAGGCATTAAACATATATTTCCAAATCAAATATAAGATATGAGCACTGTAACATATTACACATGCTTATGTACAAATGCGTCTTCATAGTAAAGGAGCACTCCAAGCACCATAAGCATGAAAGCGCACTGTAGTGGTTATGGTGTCATAAGTGCCCTAGCATGCCCTCCTCCATCCCCCATTGTACGAAGTCAAAGCAGCCATTACCCTCCACCACTTCTTCCTATGACTTTATCTGAGCTAAGGACGTCTAGAGCACCTGCTTGTACATACTCCGTGAACGCCATTTTCTTGAATGAAGGTGAACGTGACTGTACAGTAAATATATTATTATTGGTATTTATGTAGTGTCAACTTTTTCCCCAGTGCTTTACAATAAGTAATATAATATAATGTTAAAAATGTAACAACACAGTTTTCTGCTTAAAAGGGACACTATAGGCACCCAGACTATTTCAGCTCATGAAAGTTGGTCTGGATGTCTTGCCCCCAGGTCCCTTAACCCTGCAAAGTCAATTATTGCAGTTTTTTAATAACCTGCAATAACTACCTTTATGTGTTAACGCCTCCTCTAGTGGCTGTCTACAAGACAGCCACTTTATTGTCTACAAGACAGCCACTAGAGGAAGTTCCAAGTCATTAGGTGACTTTTTGTCACCTAGGTGACGCTGGACATCCTCACGCTATGCATGAGGATATCCAACGTCACCCAAAACTACATATGAAAGCATTATACATGCTTACCTACGGGGAAAGTTCTAATGCCAGCGTGACGACCGCCGCGCATGCGGATTAGGTCCCTTCCGACATCTGCCGTTGGCAGGGGAGGATTGGAGGCGAGCCCAAGACAGTTTTGTTGTTAAATTCACCTTAATTACATTGTAAAGCGCTGCAGAATCTTTTGATAATAATATAATTAAAACAAATTATGACATTATAAATACTCCCTGATCAAGATTTAAGTGTAATGCCAGGAGATATGCAAATCTATGTTTTAGTATATTATATATGTTAAAATGCACATTCAGATTGTAGTGAGTATTCACAAGAAACAGTAGCAATCTTATGTGACTGTACACACCCCCCTTGCCCCCACAAACACACACTAAAAGATATTTAATTTTAATGTGTTTGTTAGTGTGCAGTGAATTTAATATACATTATTTTGTGTAGGTACCTGGCAATACGTTATCCACTACGTTCCAGGGAGCTTCGAACACCTAAGAATGCATTAATGGCCATCACTCTCATCTGGAGCCTATCCTTGATTTTTTCTGGCCCATACCTCAGCTACTACCAAGAGTTCCAGACAGACAACCTTACTTTGTGTCATCCTGTATGGCAGATTTCCCATCGCAAGACTATGGACCTTTGCACCTTTGTGTTCAGTTACGTTATTCCTGTGCTCATCCTTGGCCTCACCTATGCTCGTACAATCCGCTACCTCTGGACTTCTGTCAATCCCATCGACGACAGGTCTGAATCAAAAAGGGCCAAGAGGAGAGTGACCCGTATGATCATCATTGTGGCTGTTTTGTTTTGCCTGTGCTGGTTGCCTCACCACTTGGTCATACTTTGTGTCTTGTTTGGTTACTTTCCCCTCAATAATGTCACTTATGCCCTCCGTATTCTCTCCCACCTAGTGTCTTATGCTAATTCCTGTGTCAATCCAGTGGTGTATGCTCTAGTATCTAAACACTTTCGCAAGGGGTTCCGCAAAATATTCCTTTGTCTTCTGTTTCGACAAAGGTCAGCCAACAAGGTCCATGTGGTCCCTACTGTCCATGCTGGTGTCAGCACACTAGAAGCAGCATGCACGGAAGTGACCCAGCTCAGTGAGGGTCACATGCATTGCTCTGCCTGCTGCCAAGATTCTAGAAGCACCTGGGAAGAGACAGAAAGGATTGGAGATAAGGGAGCCCAGACATTCCTCCCATTTAATGCAACATAGTGAGCCATGGGAGTATGTTTTTCAGAACTTGAAATTTACTTGCTCAGAACCATCTAAATCCAAGATCTATGGTTGAATATGGTGGATAAGCCCATATATATATATATACGTGAAGAACTAGAGTGTCTATAACACCATAACCAGCAATGACAGCTTTTTAAAAGGTGGACATCATTGAAAAGAATCAACACATTCTTCTAATACCATGTCTATGCTTTCAAGTATTTACAAAAGCAATGCAGGCTGCTTATTGTTTAAGTATATTTCTTCATCCACACAAGCACTATAGCTGTATCCACACAGTTTGAAACACTATTATTTTTTTAAATTACATTAATATTGTTATTTTGTGTAAACACTAATTAAATCCATTGTTTTATACATATTAAATAATTAATACCGGTATCTACATAGAATATTGTCACTTTTTAATTTATATTGACCATCAAAATTATATTTATTTTTTTCAAAATTTCTGGTTTATTATAATTGCCCTTTTTCCGTTTTATATAGTTCCAAGATATTCTACACCAATAAACAGTTTAATTACACTAATTGGCTGCTGTCCATGCATCACCACATAGTCAATTAATTTGTTGTAGTTATACTCTGTATAAATGCTGTGAATAAATTGGAGGGTGCATATCATACTGGCTAATGCATAACTGTTATATTTCCCATCTCAATGCAGATTGAAAGCAGCAAACAACACATATTTCTGTTTTTCTTAACCTTTGAAACCTTTTTTCCATCAAGATGGGTTCTTCTATCTCAGATGGCCTGAATGCTTCTTAATTGTCTTTGTAATACCTGTAAAAAAAAAAGAAATACTACAGATAAGTACTTTATCGCCAGAGTTCTGCCACTATGCAGAGACATTTACACCAATTTCTCACTTAAGAGTTGAAATCCTATTCTTTTAGCAGGCATGGTCCCGAAGAGTGCCTTCACGTCAACCCATCCAATAACCGAGCCATGCAGGGAAAGCTGCGAATCTCTTAGTGACACTCTGGCATGCCGCATGGAACTCTCCATTGGCTAAGACTTTAACCAGGTGGTGATTCAAAACCATGAGTGTGACAAGAGGGCTCTTTTGACTACAGGGAGGTGGAGGGGAGAGCTTTCTGGGGATATAAGACGTGTGTAATTTCGTATGTTCTGGGGTATATTGTAATGCCACCCTGATGTCTAGCGGATAATTGACTTGGCATTTACTGATCTGGTTATCTCCTAGACTCAGAGGCGCCAGGGTGGGATTTACATTGTTCAAGCCATGGACCCTCTGTTGGGGTTGTGTGTATAAAAATGTGCCTTGTTCTCAATAAACCAGTTCTTATTCACGCTTCAGTAAGTATTGACTAGAGTTGGATGAGATAGCTGTAACAGCTAGAATCACTCCAGGTATCGAGTGCTGAAACTCAACTTTGAACTCCGTCACAATGGGAAAATCACATCTGAGCTTATTGAATCTGAAATTAAAGAATGGACAGAACTGGGCAGTCTTAAAATGAAGTAACATTTTCTTATCCCTAACCTCCTCTTATCAAATACAAATATGATCTATTTTGTAAGTGATATGGAAAAATCTGGCACCTTTTCCTATGTTTGACCTCATTTCTCTGGACCAGGGATACATAGATTTAATTGGATACGTATACTGAGTGGTGTGCAAAACCAATTCCAGTGGAAGGTGGAGCGCTCAGAAGGTTGGAAATAACTTACCCCCCTTGGAACTCTTGGTAACCTAAGGGAGGATAGAGAATCATAGTGTGGAATGTATAAGAATAATGCGAGTGAAATAACTCAATAGGAATTCACTCACGTGGTTCTGAGCCTAGACGGGACAGGCTCAGATCACTCAAGCGGACGTGTATTTGAGGAGACACGGATCCTTTAGATGATGTTGCTTATATTCTCCCTCTGGAAAAGTGACAAATGCCAGTATCTAGTGTAATAAGTCTAAGGTACCAATATATGTAGGTGAATAAATAAAACTGCTCACCTTACATAGAGCCTTGAACTCGGCTCTAAGTTAAACAGCACATGTGTCAATAAGAGGACATATACCCTTCTTTGAATGTACAGGAACTCTGGATGCTGAATGCTGGATGCCGGAGAAGGTGTAGTAAAAAATGAAATTTATTAGATAAAAATACAAAATATAAAACAACAAACAATAATGGTCCAAATAAAAATTCAATCCTGTGGGTGGTCCCGAGACGCGTACATAGATTTAGGATGGGGGAAATTTAGATTTAGGAATACTAAGTGTTGGAGATTATAAACATCATTTCAGGGTGTATGTGAACTCCAGGTGATGTAGGCTGTTACATGCATGGATCCCTAAAACCCACAGAAACCCATCTGATAGTGCTGGGAGTTACAACCCACAGGATCTCCTGTGTCCACGTGTATGTATAGTCCAATCTACCATCTACCATATTCATGAATATGAATACCAAACGTGTCCTTGATTAGGCTATTACATAGGACCTAGAGTGGTAGAGCCCTCGATGCAATGCCACATGACTTTTATTGATTGCGCCAGTGGAGGCCTTTCAAAGTGTCTCCTTTAAAAAAGGTATACAGGGTCAACATTTACATAGATAGTTAGTACATTTTAGTGATGCACTAGGCCCTACAACATTCTAGGACACTATTTTGAGGGCTTTAGGGGCCTTTATATATTGTGGGGCTTAAGAGCATCATGAGCCACAATCTAACCTATGATCCATCTCAACAATATCAGGGTGAAATCATATCTGATAAAACTTTCTTATGTGTCAACCAAAGAGATAGTAGGGTAATGGAGTGGAGATCAGGGTCAGGTACAAGCAAGTAGGTGAAAGGGGAGTACCAAACAACCACAAACATTCAAACATTTAAATTGCATTAATAAGTAAATGCATTGGAAATGTCAATATCAACAGTGGTCAACCACTATGTACCAGAGTACCGTAATAAAACACATTACAGTGCTGTAAAACAAAAGATGTAAGGTACTCCATTCTGAAACATAAAGGTCCATGCCTCTAGTGACATTTAAATCTCGCAATGTTTTAAAATGAGAGTGCCAAGGCACCCAGATCAGTTCATTGAGATGAAGTGGTCTGGGTGCCTATAGTGTCTCTTTAAATTGTCCCTCTTTCTCCATATGAACTGTTGGGAGGTATGTACCTGTATATATAGATTCATTAATTAGCAACCTTTGAAATTGACTATCAACTTAAGAAATTGCTTATAGGGGTCATTTCTCTACATTTAGTGATGAAGCAGATAAATATTACTTATAATCACTAATCACTTACGATTGATCCAATGTATTCAGAGTTTGATTATTCACATTTCCTGATCGATTCACTATATTTGGAGATAAGTGACCCACCATGAAAGATTGACAGTATTCACCATCAGCAGATAATCAAGGAAAATGGAAATTACAGCTGCCGGATAACTGGTGATCTGCCAGATTAGGTTATTGTATTGCAAAATAGGCAAAGGGCGCATTGCCTAAAATAAAGATTTGCACTATGTGCTTAAAAGCAACAACATGTCAGAATTTGGATTCAGACTGCACATTTACTTCCTGGGTATATTTCAAGAGAATATAGTTTAAAGGAAAACTACAACCACCCTACACACTGCCCTCTCCTCCTCCTCTGTGTAAGGAGTCAAATTATTTTTGAATGGCTTGACTTCTTATCCAGAGTTCGCCTAGCGCTACTATTACGGCAGAGAGCCAGAAGTTCTAAGCAGGAACTTCCGTTAGCTCTTCTGAGCTTATCTCATTCGCTAAGAACTATTAGAATGCTTACAAATTTCCATCTCTCCGGCTTTAGTAATTGAGGACCCAAGGTGAGAAGTCAGATTGTTCAGAAATTACTTGACTTCTTGGACTGGGGGTGCCAGGAACAGTGAGTTGTAGTGGTTATGGTACAAGAAGCGTACCTTTAAATATACCTACTCCTGTGATTATTCAATTCAACAACTTTGTGAACAGCTACAGCAGCACTGTCATGCCCTTCTGAAAAATTTGTATTTCATAAAGATGCAATATTTCCAACTGAAATTCCAACCCAGTCAAGAGATATACAGAAACAAAATAGGGACGACTTGGTTTGTATTTCTCCTCTGCTTGACACAATGCGGAGCCTAAGTGGCAATCCCTGCAGCTGCCATCACTGACAACTGCAGGGAATTGCCTGTGTATGTGGAGGATCCCGAAAGCCACATAGACCTCAATACTGTACTCTCGTGCATTTCTGAGACTACAGCAGTGACGTAGATGCCAATGAGGACTACGCAGGACCAAGATGGTGGCGCCTGAGAGGGACAAGTTAGGGTACGTAAACTCACCCTTTACCTGCCCCCTTGGCCACCGGACCACCAGTGGTAATGTTACTGGCAAGGGATTTCTTGAATTTTCAAAGTCCCCAAATGGTGACAATGCCACTTTAAAGGACCAGTATAGGCACCCAGACCACTTCAGCTTAATGAAGTGGTCTGGGTGCCAGGTCCATCTAGGACTAACCCTTTTTTTTTTATAAACATAGCAGTTTCAGAGAAACTGCTATGTTTATATTAGGGTTAATCCAGCCTCTAGTGGCTGTCTCTTGACTGATTTTCACAGTGAGAAGACACCAGCGTCCATAGGAAAGCATTGTGAATGCTTTCCTATGGACCGGCTGAATGCGCGCGCGGCTCTTGCCGCGCATGCGCATTCAGCCGAAGTGGAGGAGAAGAGGGAGGAGAGGAGGAGGAGAGCTCCCTGCCCGGCGCTGGAGAAAGAGGTAAGTTTAACCCCTTCATCTCCCCAGAGCCTGGCGGGAGGGGGACCCTGAGGGTGGGGGCCCCCTCAGGGCACTATAGTGCCAGGAAAACAAGTATGTTTTCCTGGCACTGTAGTGGTCCTTTAATGGAAAATTGAGAGGATGACATAAGCTATCAAAAAACAGATGTCATGTGTCATAAATAACTCTAGTTTTTGTAGACATAGTAAA